CAATAAGCTGTATTTTCAGCTCTTGTTATTCATGGATGTACTTTATTTTAAGGAAGTCTAAGTTTCCCAGACTTTCTTCAGACTTGCAATCCTCCTGACTTAGCCTTCTAAGTAGCTGAGATTATAGGCATGTGCCAACATACCTTTAATAAGCTTTTGATGTTAAGTGAACCTTGATTTATTGGGATAAATCTCATTTAATCATGTACATTCTTTTTCATATGTTGATATATTTGATCCACTAATAAGTTTGTTGAATAATTTCAGATGTATACTTTTAATGCATAAAAGAAAAATGAAGTACAAGGTGTGATCAAAATATACAATGACTTAAAATTTTTAATGTATTGAAGTAAAAGCCACATTGTCATTAATCACCTTTGAAATATTCCCTCTTCCTTTGAATACATTTACCCCATTGTTCTTGCCACTTTCTGAGGCAACTCTGGAAATCTTCTTTTATACCTTTACAAGATGTCATCAAAAATACAGTGAATTCTGCTGCTGTGTGTCATTCAATTTAAAATTCCTAATACAATGTATATACGGTGTAAATAGTTGTTTTATATTGCATAGGGAACAATGACAAGAACTGAGTCTGAACATGTTCAGTATAGACAGTTTATTTTTAATATTTTTGATCCATAGTTGGTTGAATTCCTGGATGCAGAGCCCCCCCGGGTTAGAGGGTTGGGAAGGGGAGAAACTGCACCTGATTACAGAAGCTGGCAGGATGTGAAAATGTGTACTGAGACCAAGTAGGATTCATTCAAAGTATATAATATTGGCTCAATATATTAAAATCAATTAATGTAGCACACCATGTTAATAATGAAAGGGAGAACTCATATGGCCATCTCAGTACCTATAGTAAAAGACTCATTCTTTCATAATTTATAAAATAAACACTCATGTAGCTAGGAATGAAGACATTCTCAATGTTATAAAGAACATCTATAAAAAATCATAACTATCCTCATATTTAATGATTGAAAACTTAAATACTTTCCTTTATGAATATGATTAAGTCAAAACTGTTTGCTCTTGGCATCTCTTTAACAAAGTATTGAAGTCTCTGGCCAGGGTTATTGGTCAATAAAATGAAAAGGTAAACAAAAATAATAAAATCGTCTACACTGAAATGTCTGTGTGCAAATGACATGACCTTTTTTTTATTAAAAACTCCCAAAGAATCTACCAAAAAAGTAGAACTAATGAATGACTTCAGTAAACTTTCACTATTAAAAAAAAATCAGTACAAAAAGTTAGCTGTATTTAAATACACTTACAATAAGTATGCTGAAAACAAAAATAAGAACACAATTTCCACTAGCATCAGAAAAAAATAACAGAATACTTAGAAACAATTTTAATCAAACAAGTACAAGGTTTATGTAATACAAACTACAAAACATTATTGAAGAAATGTAATAAAATCTAAATAAATGGAAAGATGTTTCTTCTTTATGGGTTGGAAGGCTTCATTATTGTACAGTCTTCTCCAAATTAATCTGCAAATTCAACATAATCTAGTTAACTGAGAAGAAATGAGAGGTTCATTATTTAAATACCATAGATTGCCACTGTTCTTAATGTGTAGCAGATTTTCTTAAATAGTTTTTGCTAATTGGCTGTGTGCCCCAGGACAATTTCCAGAGACTGCTGAGGTTTTCCATAATTTTTACCAATAATGTTTGCTGTACAGAGAAGCAGTTCCATAGCACTCCTCTCACTGGCATTCCAGAAGTGGAGACACAGAACATTTTTTTGAGTAAATTTTTAATGGCCTTTCAATATATGAAGCAGATATGAGCAAAACTGTTCTCAATGTAACTGGGGTAAAATGCCCCAAAGTCCATTTAGATGGCAAACCTGACACTGAAATAAAACTAAGCTGCACATTTATCCGCTCCTGGGTTAGAGAGCCTTTTCTCAAGCCTTCATGTTTGATGATAATGCTATATGGATTTGTACACTTAACGCAACTGTCTTTTCTAAGGAAAATCACTTTTACCAAATTATCAATTATCCTACCACTCCTTCAAGGAAAATTGCTTTCCCCTTCTCCCTATTAAATGATGTGCATTTAATGCATGTTTAATTTTTCTCAAACTTCATTAATCTTTACATCAGTTTTGAGTCCAGACCCACTGCATAATTTGAAAGGGGAAAAATATATATTTTATATCATATAACATATAATATATTTTTATATAACATTATATTTACACATAAATATTTGTTTAGGATAGGATCTCTGTATGCAGTTCAGGCTTGGCTTGAACTCACTGTGCAGCCCAGGTTGGCGTCAAACTCACAGTGATCTTTCATCCTCAGCCTTCCAAGTGCTGGAATGACAGGCATGTGTCGCCACACCAGGAAGAAATTCTTATATTTTTGAATGATTACAACTTGTAATGTTTTCTAACAACTAGATATGTCCAGATGTTTTCAGCACAAATAGAAAATGACAAATTAAATGTGAAGTGTTTCAGTGATGCAGGCAAACTCACTTTTAAAAGAAAACTAAGAAATCCTGATAACGCGGTGACATGGGAGAAAACTATCAACTTTCACTGTTTAAGAGGTTGCATGCAGTTGAAGGAAAGGTTTAAAATAGGGAACTATTCTCTGACCTTTGAAAAGAAATAAGAAATTTTCATCTGGGCCCAAAAAGTTTGCAAATATGGTTTTCATGTTCATTTCATAGCTCAGAATTCCTCTCCCTGAAGCAGGGAAAATACATCTTCATAGCTTCTGTTTTTCTTGCTGTTCCTTAACTGAGCCCTTCCTGTTGTGAATTTTACTACTAATTACTTGAATGCAACAGGCAAAACTTGATAACAACTTGGGACATTTGTACCGACTTTAAAAGTCTCACTATTACCCTTACCTTTGTTCTATCTTTGCAGATCTTCCTGCGATGATCTCTGTTTATTTCCTTAGTATTGTACTCTCTTCTGTTCTTTATTGCAGAAGGAATTTGCCTTACCTCTTCCAATCTTATAGATCATTCCTTAGCAAAGCACCAGGAATCCTTTCTTGCATGTTATCTCCTTTACATAGTTAAAATTCGATACAAACAGAATAATAGGTTTTTCCTTCAACCCAAAGTGACAGTTCATTTTTTAATTCCAATTTGAGTGACACTTAGATCACTAGCCTCAGTAAAGGATAATTTAATTTGTCAGTTTTTCCAAGTACAAATAAGAGAGTGGATGAATAGAAAAAGGAAAGGGATGTAGATCAAGAGTTGGGGTACAGAGGAAAGGAAAACAGGATGAATATGTGGGTGGGTATCTAACTGCTACGTCGGGCAAAGCACAAAGAAAATAATCTTTTTCTCAACACTTAATCTAGCTTTTCCAGGGCTCCTTCTTTCCAATAGTCAGGATCATTTATGGTGATTAAAATGTCAGATGGTCAGCTCCAGCCACATTTGTTTTTTGAAAGATGTTTTACTTGTTCTTCTTTGTTCATTAGGCTAGACTTCAATACATCATATTTTTCTCATCTAAATTTCCAATGATATTAGTGTTATTACTGCATAAATTTGTGTATTTTTGCTTTGTATGCCTCTATAACTGTACATCATAAATATTCTTAGTCACGCATGGAGTATTTGCTGTTCATTGGAAAAAAATAAACATTTTAGCTCAGAGTGAATTTTCCCTCTGCCTTACATCATATTCCTACTGTTGAAACATTCATGACCTTCTTTGATTTCTTTGTCATAGCTACAGAAAATACCCTTTTTTCTATATTTAGTGTATAGTTAACCACATTGTATGTATTGATTCCCTACATCTAATATCTCAAAAAAAAATCCACTCTACACAGCACTTCCGTGTAAATCTTCCTAAGCACTAATTTTTTCACATTATCCACCTTATCAAATTGCAACACTGTCTCCCATTGCATATAAAATATATTCAAACTGAAATCTATGATGTTTACTATTTTGTTCTTATCTGCCACTTTTCTCCCACCTTCTTTTAATGTTTGCACCAAACTAACCTATTTATTTTTCTCATTATTTATTCTTCAACAGAGCTGGAAACAGAGTATGTTGGTCAGATAAAGGTGTGGAGGAGTAGGCAGACATTCTAGTGGTGATCCAGGATGATGAATGGAACTCTTAATGATTTTTATCAACCAGTACTTTTAGAATTTCAAGGGAATAAAGGATATTCTAACTCCAGATGCAGTGTGGGGAACGTTCACTAGTAGAATTAGAGTCTTTATTGGATGAAGAATATAATAATGCCTTAATTTTTCTGAATTCCTATCAAACTATGTAAATTCTTTATGAAACTATGTGTGCTAGCTAGAGCTTATGTCTGAAAAGCCTTGTGAACTAAGGGGATTAATAATCCTTTTATCTGGAATAAAGTCTTCATTCCAAATAAAACAGTTCATTTTCTGTACAGGTATTATGTGCATGATGAGGTCCTCTACTGTAATCCTCAGAAGCAGGGAAAGAAGGACAGCTGTTAATGCCACATTACACTTTGATGCTGGAAATCATTGAGTATTGTCTGGTATTCCTGACAGAAAGATGGAGTATGTGAAAATCTGAGTACATTGCATCCGTCTTGAATTAATGCAATAGTCATTAACATGAATGCAGACTTTTACTTTGGAGCACTGATACCTTTCCACATCAGACTCTGGTCACTGGACCTTGGCTAAAGATGTAAAACATAAATGACAGTAGTTGTAAAACTGAATCAATGGTATAATTGCCTTTCCTTTTAGGAAGTTCATTGAAGAAAGGACTTCCTTTTGAAGCCATATCCCCTGCTTTCCTATATACATGGCCTATATTTGCTAATGTCTATGTATTTTAAAGAAATATAGAACATAATATAATCTCACTCCTGGCAGACAGGCGCTGGAATACCTCTAAGATATTTTCAAATATTTATTAATCATCAACTACACCCAGGCTCTATGTTAAATTAGCAATAAGGAGAAAAAGTTATAATTTCTAACGAAAAATGTCATGATATTTTTACATGGAATCACTTTCCCAGTGTTCCTCTCCTTTTCTTGATTAAATTAGAAAAGGCCAACTTACCAGCTTCACTCTGTGTGTGTGTTTGTGTGTGTGTTTGCAAAGTACACAACTGGAAACACTTTGCATCATGAAAAAAAGCCAAATACGACAGGCTTGCTTTTCTTTTTTTTTTGTTTGTTTTCTTTTTTTTCCAGTACTGGGAATCGAACTCATGACTTGTGCTTGCCAGGCAGGTGCTATGCAGCTGAACTAAATCTCCAGCCCAACAGGCTTGCCTTTCATTCCTGCCACTCCACTTGTAGGTAAATGAAGTGATAGATGTTGTCTAAGGTCTCCCTTTTTGATTGCTTGCTTACTTTTCCATGAATATTCTAATGGGAGCACTTTTGTGGCATAGTACCACCTCCTTATGCCTAAGAACATCTTCCACACTTAGACTGACAAGTTTTCAATCCTTGTTCTGCTACTTGGAACTTCTGAGCTCTTTAACTTCAGGTGAGCTTCTCATTCTTTTTGCTGTTTAGTTTTCTCATCTGTAAAACATGGATATTAATAAAGCATACCTTGTGGTTATTTTGAGGACTGAATGAGTGCCTATAGAAGAAGTATTTAAAATAGCATCAGTCACATATGTTACCTTTCTTGCAATGTTGTTGGGGAAACGAAAAGAATGATGATATATGTCAAAATCCTCTGCACAGCATTGAATATAAAGCAGTTGCTCAATAAATGGAAATTATTGAAATCACTAGTCGTTTTTATTATTCTAGGAGCCTCAAAATCATCACTTTAATAAAGAATAGTAAGAAGGACATGTTTTGGAGGAAAAATAAATAGAACAGGGAAAACAGGATGTCCATATACAGAAGAATAAAACTAGACCACTATTTCTTATCTGTTGCAAATATCAACTCAAAATGGATGAAAGAACTAGTTTAAAACCTTGCAACTCTGAAAATACTAAAAAATACATCTGGGAAACAATTCAAGACATTGGAACGGGGGAGAAATGTTTTACATAAGGGGGCTGGGGATTTAGCTCAGTGGCAAAAGCGCCTGCCTGGCAAGCGCAAGGTCTTGAGTTCCGTTCCCGGTACCGGAGAAAAACCAAAAAAAAAAAAAAAAACAAACATACATAAGGCCACTATTCATAGCAGCCAGGAGACGGAAATAACCAAAGCACTCATCGGCGGATGGATGGACAGAAGAACTTTTGCACATGCGCACAATCTAATACTAGCCAGCCATTAAGAAGGAGAAGATGCTATCGTTTGTAACAACATGAATGACACTGGAGGTCTGATGTTTAGGGAAATAAACCAGGCAAAGAAAAGGGAGAACGATATGCTCTCAAGATCTCACACATGTGCAGAAGATAAACAAGCTAATCTCATTGATGCTGAGGGTAGAGCAGTGGCTATCAGAGGCTGGCAGTAATAGGAGAGGAGAGAGGGATGGGGAATACTGGTGAATAGATATCAAATTACAGTTAGGAATAAATACTGTGGTACTTTGGATTACTGCTGCATAGCTCTGTGGCTGTGGATGACGACAGTGTACTGTTCATTTCCAAAACTTGGAAAACGGAGTTTGAATATTTTAACACAAAGTGACAAACGTTTGAGAAAATAGAAATGTTTAACCTAATTTAAAGATTACACCATCATTTACATGTATTAAAATATCACATGGTAGGTACCCCAGAAATATATACTATTTTATGTTTTTATGTATCAGTTTGAAAAACAAATTTAAGTAAAATAATCTTTTAAATGTAAGAAAAAATAAAAAAATTATGCTAAGTGAAGATAAATGTTGAGAGGAAAAGTATACCTATTCTGATAGCTGTGGATGATTGGCTCAGGACAGAATCCCTGAGGATACCAAATTCACGGGTGATCAAGCCCTCTTTATGAAACGATGTAGAATTTGCATATAATCTACACACATAGTCTCATATACTTTTAATCATCTGTAGACTATTTATAAAATGTAATTCAATGTAAACACTATTTAAATAGTGGTTATGTTGTATTTTTAAGGGATAATGACAAGAAATGGCCTGTTTTAATACAAATATAATGTATTACAGTATGTCGGTTCACCAAGTCTTCTGCTTGCAAACAATTTAGTTCACAAAGAGAAGCATTTGACGCAGTTTTGCTTCTTTTCATGAACTTCACACAGGGTGACTAACATGACCACACAGCTATCTTCCCCAGAATCATGGAAGAATTAAATTTGTGAACCAAGGTACCACACTATCATTATCATTATTATTATTATTATTATTACTATTTTCAATCTTCAGATCTGAATCTACAGATGCAGAACCCACAGATACCAAGAATCCATTGTAGTTATTTGTTATATTTAGAAGTTTCCTTATTCATTATTGGTCTCATAACATTCTATGATCTACAAAAGTGGAAATAACATATTTAAATTTAATATAATATAGAATTCAATCATCCACCATAATCATGGTTCTAAAATCAAATCCAGTTAAGCTCACTCCTTATCTAAAGTCTGGAAGTGTCAAGTTGACCCTCGGGATTAAGCCCAAACTCTCCTCCAGATGCACACAAAACTTACCGCAGTCTGACCCATCCCCACCTTTCTGGCCTCACTTCCCACTGATCCTGACTATTCTGCTTGCTCTCCCATGCCTAATCACTTTTCCAATTACACCAGTGTCCTGACTCCCTATGGGCCTGTTTTAAACACAATGCCTTCTCCCTACTTTACTCATCTGACTAAAAATACCACCCTGCAGTGAAACCTTTCTATATTTCTCTACTTAGCTGACCCAGCTGTAATGCTTTAGGGTATATATACATATCTCCATTATTTATGTTCCCTTGAAATTTTACATACATGTACATCTTATCACAACATGGAATGAGATCCATGAGTGCCAGAACTTTTCTTTATCCATCCTTAAAGCTTGCCATCAGTGCTAACAAGACAATATTCATTGAATAAATAAGGACCCTCTTAGTAAGGGAGCAAGGCAGGCTTTGTTATAGTGGCTTCACAGGTAAGGGCACTGAGGTTTTGAAAGCAAGTTGGCTGTTTCCACTGAGAGATAAATAAATGGCCAGCCCCCCACACACATTATCTGGGGGATGTACCTGGGACACAGTTTTTCGTAGTCGTCTGGAGTAGTCGGGCTTGCCTTATTTGAGTAAAATTTCTGCCTAATGCAGTATGTCTCTATCCTGGGTGAACGTTATAATCAACTCTTCAAAATAGTTCTTAGCAGGGTGCTTGCCACTTAATGATATGCTTAACTGCCTATGGGGAAGGGAAAATAGACTTCATACTGCCTTTCTTTCCTGAACTTTTACCACTTTATTTCCTTTTAGTTTTTGTGCTAAGTTTCTACAAGTTTAGTCATTAGTTTCAGTGATTTTAACCTGCTTCAAACTCCCACCCATCCCCAGGGGTTTTTCTCTTTCCTCAAATAAGAAGTTGCAGAGTATAGAGTTGAAATTATAGCCAACTGAGGTTGGCTGCAGTTGAATTTCTTAGTTGTATAACCACATTTTATTTGGATCTACTCATCCTTGAAAATCTATTCTCTTAAAGTGTGAATTTCTTTTAAAAGAGTTGTTATGCATGAAAACTTCCAGATACCCCCAAATGTGTTGCACATTACCCAGAAGCATGTGGAAATAAAGCTAGCGGGATGCTATTGTTTCAATCTGAGATAGAGGCTCCAATTTTTCCCAGTGGTCTTAGCAGATTTTTCTTTTATTATATGGTAGTTCCCTCTGAGCCCCCAGACCAATTGTTGGTCTTCCAACTGTGTATTAATTAGACACAGTTCTATCACTCTCCTGCTTAAAATATTCCACTCCTCAGTTTTCAGGGTAATATTTAGACTCTTTACTTCTGCCTGAAGCTCTATATTGTCTGAGTTAAATCACATTTACCCACAGACCCTCACATACATGCTTACTTTCCATTCTTCTGAACTATTTGAAAGGCCTCAGACCTCTTTGTTTTTCTTTATTCTTATTTTTTGCTCTCTCTAGACTTTTTTCCCAAGCCTTCTGATACTTATTTCACTCATCATCGAAGTAGATACAATTTTCTCTTTCCCTATTCTCCAAAATATGAGAGGTCCTGATCTCCTGGCATTCGTACTATTCTATTCTGATGTGTGAACCAAACTGCAAGTTATTAGAAGATGAGGACAGTCCTTCATTTGGCCTTGAATTTTAATATCTGGTACAGTGCTTTTTATGTGCCAGGCACTAAGTTAACTGGTATGGAGCACTAAATGGTAAAATCCACCGAGATCCACATCAGAATCACTAGCATGTGCTAGATTCTTCCTTCTCCCAAATATTGATGTATAATCACTAAATAAGTGATTCTTAAAATGCTTAATTCATGTTCAGATTTTGGTAAAAATTTGAACTTTCCTAAGAAAAATATACAATTCATATAAATTTTATGTGAAGAATTTGCAAATTATTTACATCAACCCCTCAGCTTTGGGCTAAGAACTAGGATGGACATAGTATGTTTAATGATCACCACTCCTCCTAGTGAATTGCCGTGGGATTGGAGTGACACATAGTTAAATAACTGCAATACAGTATCACAAATATAATAACCAAAGGGAGACACCAACTCTCCTGAAGTTTTCCAAAAGGTAGTGTGTAGTCCAAAACATGAAGGAACAAAAGACATAACAGAAAATAATGTTTTTAAAAAGTTCTTAGGAAGAAAAACTCAAAAGAAAATTATAACTTTAACATCAATATAAACAGCAGCAACATTTACTCTATGCTATACATTATTCTAGGTGATTTTCCCTGTACTATTCCTTACTACTTATAATTACCCCTTGAAGTAAGTGTTATTGCCAATTAGTGTTAGGGCTGTCATAACATAGTAGCACTGGGTGGGTGGCTTTAAACAGAACAAATTGTATTCTCTTATCATCTTGGAGGCTGTAAAATGATACCACAGTGTCAAGAGGCTTGGTTTTTGCTGAAGCCTCTCTCTGTGACTTACACAGACAGGGCTGCCTTCTCTTCGTTTCTTGACATGGTCTTTCTCTTTCTCCGGCTTTTTCCAGATTTTCTTTTCCAAGGACACCACTCAGCTTGGATTGAAATGCATCCTAATGACATCATTCTGACTAGATTGCTTCCTTTCAGGTCTCATCTCCAAATGTAGCCACATTCCGAGGTGCTTGGAATTAGGAATTCTCATATTGCAACAGCAAGCAGAAAGACAGAACGACACCCAGGATTTGGAGGCAGATTTATTTTACATCCATGGGCACTGATTGAGATGACTCCCAAAATACAGGGCCCAAAGGATGTGGGTAGGAGGTTTTCCTGGGATTGCCAAAGGGAAGTACAGAGGCAAAGTACTTGGTTGTCTTTGATTGGCTCTTACAATAAGCATCACGGTGACCAGCTGCTTCTAGGAGACACAAGCAACCAGAACCACAATAGGAACTATTATCTGGGCAACTAAGAAACTGAAGTACACTGGCTGGGGGGGCATTTTCTGTTACAATGTGTGCTCGGTGGTAGGCATAATTCATCCCATAACATCATAATTTCTATTTTCCTGCAAATGAAATTGGACCACAGAGAAGCTGAATGGCTTGCCCAAGTTTATAAAGCAATTAATTACCAAACAGAATTTGTATCTAAACCTCTGTCTTCAGAATGTTTGACTCTAAACTCTCCATCTCTGTTTATTAATAGACTGAGATTATAAAATTCACTAACATACTTGTTAGGATGCTTTGCATCTTTCTTGTGGTACACCAAAATCCCCAAAGGACAGAAATATAAAACCTCATATCTACAGGAATTGACACTGGCTTTTGTGTTAAGCTGTAGAACTGATGGTTTCTGCTGTGAAAAGAAGAACAGCCACAATTCACCATTACTGGGTGCTCACTGCAGGTCAGACACTGTCCTCACTTAGGTCTCTGAAGTTTGTTATTATCCACATTTTGCAGCTATTAAGGTGAGACTTGTACAGAGATTATCCCCATCACCTTCACAACATCAATGTTATAAATATGACACAATTTTCTAAAAAGAAGTCTTACATGTCTGAATTCTTCCCTTGCTTCCAAATCCCGGACTCAAAAGCCAGGACTCCGTGCTGACCTTGCACTGTTGAAGTTGTACTTCGCCTTTCTTTGTCCTCCCGTTTGCTGTGTTGGGGAGGCTTCCTGTGCTCACAGCAGGACACATCACACTCTTTCCTCAGCTCCCTTATGCTGCCAACTGTAGACGCGCTCTGTCGACACAACACTCAGTACTTTCCAGGCCCTGCCACAAACACTCACGGGCTTCCTCGGGAGAATACGCTAAGTCAGTCACAGATAGCTCAAGCCTCCATCCACAGTCCCATGTCAATGTGCTTCTCCTTGACCTGCTTCTCTATTGTTACCTTGTAAACTACTAAGCAAGTGCTGGTCAATGGGCCCTCATACCCTGTGCAGGAAAATAGAGAAGAGTATCAACTTCACCAAAAAAAAAAAAAATCATACTGCTTTAGCATATTCACCGTGGCTCTGTACTCAGGTTTTGTAATAAAGTATCAATTTATCAGCTAGAAAGAAACAATGGAAGATGTTTAGTTACCACTCACGTGGACAGCTCTGAAAGGCTTACTGCCACTGTCTTAGTAAAACAGTATTAAAGTTACAATAGAACACCTGAGCTCTAAATTGCATATTATGCATAGTTATAAAAGTCACAGAAATCTAAAATGGAGCCTCAGATCTTCTAGCTCTTTACTGTTGTGCAATTATTGGCAAAATATACACTTTGATTCATTTTTTCTCTTCCAAAATGAGGCCAATAAAATATCTACCATTGTGATTTACTGAGGCTTATATTATAAAGATGCATCAGTTTGCATTACAGCAATTGCTTGGTTGTTAAATTAGTGCTCTAGGCTAGCTTGCAAACTAAAGAGCAGGGGCACTGGTTAGCCAATAAATGTTGAACACCTGGGATGTGTTGGGCACTGAGAAAACATAAGAAATGACAAGCTGTGGCTCTTGGCTGGTTGGTAATACTGGTGTTCTGGGATGTCTTTGTGCCACCTCTGAAAACAATGCTTCTGCCTCGATTTAAATCTGTGAAAAACAAGAGTGATTGTAATCCCAAATTTCTGAAGCAAGTAGAGTGTTTAATGGCTGCTCTGGCATCTATTTCCTGCATCTTTCCGGTGCTGTTGAGCACCAGACTCTTGCCTTCAGCTGCAAGCTTAGCTAGACAGTAAGAGAGAGAAGCATTCAGATCCTGCCTGGGGAATGTGAGGTAGGAAAAATGCAGCCCAGGCTGGGAATGCTAGTGTGGGAGAAAGAACGCTAGACATCAGCCAGAAGAAGTGCATTCTCATCTAACTCAGCTCCTCACTCAATTATTCACTGTTTCCTCCTTTTCTTTTTCTTCTGCTATTGATCCAGTACAATGCACGTTATAGCTTTTTTCTGTCATTTGTTATGCTGATAAATATCATTTCCAAATCTTACTGTACAATGTTCCTTGCTTTTCCTAAAGTAGAAAGTATAAGTCCTGTGAGTCATTTTCTCAAAGGAATACTTGGATATTTAATGTTAATTACTGTTGAATAAGCCATTTACTTTACAAAGTAAAAGTCATATAGAGCCTTTTCTAAGTGGCCTGAGCTACATCTTCCAACCCAAACAGCCTTAGATAGAATATACACATCAGGTATGCTCACACCTGCAGAAACATTCCCATCCACATATGCGAACACATAAGAGAACCAAATATTTACTATTATTAGCAGTAAAGTAATAGTCAAGACCAGTCAACTCTAATTCCGTATATGATACTAATTGTAACTTTTGGAGAAGAATTCTTTTGTTCCTTAATAAGATGAGGGGTTTGGATGAGAAGAAAGCAAAACTATTACCTTTTTCATAGCTGGGCCCATCACTTTATAAGTATTGCCGCATTTTATCCTCAAATATTATTGTTCAGATTTTTACTTCCCTGTTGAATTTTTGTTCTCATAACCATATTAAAGTAGATAATGCCATCCTCATGATATTATGAGTATACTGTGGCCTACAGGGATTTCTCTGATTAAGTTTAAATGGAGAACTTTATTATCATTTAAAAATTAAGCTTTCCTTTAATAGGCAAACATTTCAAAACCAGGTCTGCATAAAGAAACAAATAATCCAAAAGAAGAAGAAAGGCAGGGAAGCAGAGGCCTCACTGTTATGTAATTGCAATTCAATGCATTTGAGGAACTCATTTTTTTATTTTAAAGATAAAAGAATGAATACATCTTAACAAACACACATACATTTAGCAAATAGCACAAAAACATTACTAGCAATACAGAATCTCAGACAAGGTGATAGGAAATCAACAGTGGTTGTTGAATTACATATTGATATCTTCAGTTTGGATACTCAGATAAACAAATATGTAAGACTGACATGTAAGATTGATCATACACTTAAACATTAACTGTTCCTTTCAACAGAACAAAGTCAGCAGTACCACTATGCTAACTATGTTAGCTATGAGGAACTCAAATTTATCTCAAGCTGTGGTTCTCAAAGGCAACATAGTTATTACTTCATCTGTCCTACTCACCATTCAAAACATGACAGATGGGAAGAATAACCCCAGATTCTCTTACCTTTTCATTGTCTTACAACTCCTGTAACTTAAATTATTATACAAGGTCAATGGCTCTCCATTTATATTTTCAGCACAAATTTTGTTCTAAAATCTACATTCAAATATCCGTCGCCTCTCTGACCTCCTCACAGAATGTCTCAAAAGCATCTCGAAGTGCAGCACATCTGGAATCAAGAGACAAACATCTCCACCGCAGGCAGCCCTGTTCCAGTGATCTGCATCCCTGGGAGTAAAAATGTCTTGTCCAGCACCACAAGCCAGGACACAGGAATCTTCTGTGTCTTCTCGTGGTTTAATGGCACTCCTTGTTTCTGCACATCATCTCTTTTGCCTGGACAAAGTGTCTCGCTGAATTCCTTAGTCTTTGCCTTCTGCACATCCATCAACTTGGTTTTCTGTCTCAGTCCACTGTTAGTACTACGCTGAAATGACTGAGACTGAATAATGGAGATTTATTTCTTATGGTGCTGGAGTCTGAAAAGCCCAAGTGGGAGGCACTTGCTGTTGATAAAGACCTTCTTGCTGTGGTAGTCTGTATTAGTTAGGGTTCCTCAGAGGACCAGAATCAATATAAAAAATAGGTATAATTATACATGGGAACTCATGATGTAGGCTTCCAGGATTAGAGGCAGAAAAGTCCACAGTGGCCCTCTGTGGGGTCAGTGGTGGAAGAATCCACAGTAGCTATTTGCATGCTAAAGAGCCAGACCACCCAATAGCTGCTTACCCTCAGGAGCTGGGAGCCACGGAACAAGAGGAATCAAAGATGGAGCGTCAATTGAAGGTTGACAGCCTTGGAAGCCCATTGCAGAGTTTCTGGCATGAATCTGCATTGGAAGGCAGAGGAAACTGGAGGACAATGTCCAAAGGCAATGGCGAAGGCTGGAGCTCTGCTAAAACAGGCACCATCTTCTTCCACTTTATTCCAGCCACACTATCGTACAGAGGAGTGCATGTCAGCACAAGAACTTTGGGCAACACAGTCACATTGTAACCCCGCAGGCCCTGTGGTCTTTCAAAATGGAAACTCACTCGTGTTATCACCCATGGCTCCAAGCACACAAAGGGTTTTGACCCTGCATTTAGGAAAGAAAGCTCACATGACCTCCACTGCCTTTCATGCTTGTGTCCTAAGCGTCACTGTCATCTCGTCTTGAACTGTTCTTTTCTTAGTCCCCATAGGCATCTAAGTGATACTTTAATGCCTTGCCCGAATCAACTCTGCCAATTCTATTTTACCTTTCAGAAACATTCTTCTATTATTTCCCCAAGTGCTCCTAGTTCACCTCTTCATCTGCATATGCTGTCAAAGGCTTTCTCTGAGGCTACGGACTAGATTAGCCCATCCCGAGAAATCCTGTTATCATAGCACAGGTCTTCTTTACTTAGAATTCTTTCACATAACTTACCAGTTAATAATTATAGATTTCTAACATTGCTCATTAATGTGTATACCTACCACTACAGTGAGTGTCATACTATCACAGGGAAGGGAATTTCGCCAATACCTGGCATACAGCAGGTTTATTATAGATGCTCAAAATACAGGCATTCTTCTATTTTTTCATGCATGAATAAATGAGTAAAATGGTGTTTCATTTTATATGTTTATGTAACATTTTGGTTGGTGATGTTGGATGTTCCAAAGCAAATTGGTTCCTAAATATCCAACTATAGTAAGACTTCCTGATTAGTTTTTTTCTTTTAGTAGAAGTTTTACTTTAGAATAATTTTTATTTACAAAGATATAGAGTTCTCACTGATGTCATGTCTTATTTCCTCTATTTTTAATATCTTAGAGTGTGGAACATTTATCACAATTAGTAAATCAGTGTGTATGTGTGTGTGTGTGTATATGTGTGTGTGCATGTGTGTGTGTGTATCTATGTATGTGTATGTGATGCTGGGGGTCAAACTCAAGACCTCATCCATGTCAGGCAAGCTCCGTACCACGCAGCCATTCTCCCTGCCATTTTTGTTATCATCAAAATCCACTTTGTCAGGATCCTTTAGTAGGTACTTGGCATCGTTTTCTGTTACAGTACCCCAGCCAGGCTACCACAGTGGTTTTAATTATTGTATTTTCTTAGACTCTTCCCAGGGATGAGAGTTTTTCTCACTTTGGCTGTTTTTGATAGTGACAGCTTTGAGTACTGCTCTACTGCTTACGTAAATTTTCTCTCAGGTGAGGTTTGTCTGCTTTTCTATTGCATTAGGGTAATGTGTTGTGATGAGGAAGACGACAGGAAAAAACACCCTTCTATTCTTTCAGTATAAAGAGTTTGAACAATAAATCTACCACTGTGAATGGTAGCCAGATCACCAGGCAGAGGTGGGTCTTGATAGGTTTCCCAAGCTCTTAAACCATTCCGCCACCCTTCTGTACAGAAATCGTTAGGTGCAGCCCACACTGAAGGAGTGGGATGTTATGTTCCACCTGCTAGATAGCAGAGCATCTACATAACTATTCAAATCTTTCTACATGGTAGATTCATGTATTTCCCACATTTATTTATTCACTATTTTATGTCAGTCAGACACAGCCATATTTATCCTATAATTTGGGTTACAAGCCAAGCTTCTTTATTTTTTAGTTCAAATTGTTCCACTTTTGAGAGCTTTGCCAGTTGTCTCTTCTGTCCCTTTGACAAAACTCTAACTTGGGGTTGTATCTGGCACAACAAAATGTCCCACACTCATATATTTCATGCCCCCAACTTAGAATCTATCATTTCTCCCTGAAGTTTTGAGGGTTTTTTTTGGACAGTAGTTGCTCTGTCCACTGTTTCTCCTGAGATTCCAATTATGTACCTTCCGCATCTTTGAAATTGTCCCTCAGTTCTGGATTTCTTTTTAATTTTTCTTTTTCTCTTTACATTTGTTTGGAAAGTCTCTACTGAACTACATTCAGATTACTCATTCTTTTCTCAATGACATCACGTGTACTTATAAATTCATTAAAGTCATTCATTTCTTTACAGTGCTTTGGAGACCTAGTATTCCTTTTGATTCCTTCTCAGGGTCTGTCTCTCAGCTTACAATACCCATTTGTTCTTGCACGTTATGTGTTTTTTTTTTTTTTAACCAAACATATTAATAACGCATTATTTATGTGATTTTTACTTCCATGTTTAACAGTTCCAAAACCTACATCCTATTTGGTTTAGATTATGTGATTCCTTAACCACTACAGACTCTTTTCGCCTTACTTTTTGACATGACTTGCAATATTTTATTTTTGTAAGAGAGATAGGTTTTTATTATATAAACTGAGGTAAGTATGTCACTAGTGTGAGGATTTATTTTAATTTGGTAAGGAGTTGCACTGCATTGAATTTCTGCCATAGCTGTAGTAGACTGAGGTCTCAAATCTCCCTAATGTTTTTGTTTATTTCCACAGTTGGTTCTGTGTTTCTCTATATACATTTCATGCTCAGACACCATGCATATCTTGCAGCTCTTTTAGCTGTAGTCCATGGTTGCTTTACTGGAGCCCTGCTGGTACGGCAGTGCAGTGTCAGAGGGAGGAAGTCTTGGCATTACTCTGATTAAGTCACAGTCTTTGAATGGGATAGAGTCTTGGTGCTGTAACCTTCATGCTTGTATCTCTAATGTCACAGCCTCTTTTCCCTTACCTCTCCCTTCCTTCCCTGGCTACCACATTTCTCACCCATTCCCTCAAGGCCCTTGCAGGAGTGGCCTATTTATAACCCCACCACCACCCCATGTGAGACAGGAAGATAGGCTGGGCGAGTATGAATTCCTTCCTCCTCCTGAGATAAGGTTTAAATCAGGCACAGTCATTTCCCTGAGATTTTAGGCCTTGTTATGAAGGAGGTTCAGGATATATTTTGCAGTTGTCACTCTGCCTTTTACCCTGACAGAGCCAGCCAAGCATCCTTCTTGGATTTTATCATGAAAACTTGGTGGAGTTCCAAAATGTAAAACTCAGAAGTAGTCTGTGGGAATCCACCTAAGATGGCAGCCCCAGGAATCACTCGCTATCTCCTGTAGCTTAGCATCAGTTCCCAGCTCTACCTCAAAGTGTTTAAGGACCTAGTTGCTTCTGCTTCTGGCAAGCAGGCCTCAGCCATGTTCTTCAGTATATACTTATACCTACAGTTACAGGGTTGGCTCTTTCCCCTGTGACCTCAATTTTTCATGAGTCCAAGAGATGTTGCTGATAGTCAATTTGTCTAAATTTTTCTTATGTAAGGATGGGCAAGCCTAGGGTCTTTCCATATCACGCTGAAACCAGAAACCAAACTGCATGTCAGTTTATATATAAAATACTTTTCTTCATGTTCCTCTTTTTTTTAAATCACCTTTACTCTTTCCTAATTTTTCCATTGTCAATTTCACTGTTACTCAAATTTTCAGAAAACTGTCCAGATACAGTTTAAATGAATCTCTGATAAGAAGATATTTTTCTCTCAAAATGTCAATGTGATCATATAAGTTATATACTGGCATTTCAATGTGCACCACTCTAGACATATTTTAACGGAACTGAATGAAGAACAGTGCCACTAGGAAGAACTTAATGAAGATTAAGTCCTTCATTCTGAAAGGTTGGTAAGGTGGGTTAGCACATTAATGGTTTCATCCACTAGATCTTTTGGTGCTAAGAATTGATGACCTTGCCCTACTTGGGTGAAGAATTTTTATTGCTTGGCAGAAACAAGATTACGTGTGAATTAAATTACAGTGATAATTCTTTTCAATTGACAAAAGGCAGTTTTTGCCTCAAGCTCTTATTTACTACTCACTGTACACTGGACTCTCCCTAAATCAGTAAACTCAAATGTTTGGAATCTTCTTTCCATTTCTTCCTATCAGAATAATAAGCCTTATTAAAGACGTTGCTTAAACACACATCTGTAGCATTTTATTACAGCAGATCTAATGTCCCTCACCGGTTATAAATTTCTTCCAGTAGAATGAGAATATCAAGGGGAAGACGAAAAGGAAGAAGTGCCGTGGGATGAGAGCTTCCAGGAATCCGTGTTCACTTACTGACTTCATCTGCATAGTAGCTTCACTTTTACTATTTCATTTTGCAGATGAAGAAAGGAGAAATCTAAGTAGCTTTCAAATTTTTACAACTTTCTCTTTTCACTACTTGTAGATTTTTTTTCTAACTGTAACATGGCCTGCTGTCAGTACCCTACAGATACATGTTTAGTAGCATGAAATCAGGGAGAATTTTCCATTGTTGGACCAGGTTCTCAGTGTTCATTGGTGACCTACTGGTCCCTCAGTTAATTCCCACTTGGAAACCAACTTTGAGCAGAGTACGTCAAAAGACAGTTTGTTTAAGTAAACAGGATTGCTCTTTTTTATTGTAGAAAAAAATGATCACTACTGCTGTCATTTGACTCTTTTATTCTCTACTGTACTTCAAAATGTTGAATTTTTTATAATTTTATTTTCTATTTGAAGCATTACCAGTCTTATTTTTAGGTACCACTTCCTCTATGATCTATTAACCTACCTTTTAGATTAAAATAATAGCTTATTTATTTAACATTTTCATTAAATTATATAACAGTGAATATTGCCTTTGAACACAGGTGGGACAGATATTATTCTCATTTTAAAGATGTGTAGGGTAAGCCTCCAGAAAGTTTAGTGATTTTTCTGAGTCATATTAAAAAACAGAGTGGGGCTTCAAGGCAAATTCTCTAACCCCAGATCTAGCCATTCTTTTTGTCATGTTTTAATGGCCCATTATACGTTCTTCTACAGCTTGAGCTTCTACTCCATTCTAACTGTATACTTTTATCATTTATTATTTTACATTTCTTTCCAGAAAGAAATGCATACATCACAAACAAACTCTGACTTATTGAAACAAGAAAACATTACTCAAAAGGAATAGCTAATGATTGTTTGATCAGTCTCACATGCCTATATTTGTTCATCTGAGTAACCAATTTGAACATTTCAATACGTAATACAACAGCCATTGTTAATTTCCTATCACCTTGTCTGAAATTCTGCATTGCTTTTATTGTTTTTGTTGTTTTGCTTATGTCTCTGTGTTTGTTAATATGTTTTCATTCTTTTATCTTTAAGATAAAAAAATAACTGAGAAGTTCAGAGACAGATGGGAACAAAGGGAAACTTCCAGCAGTCAAAACATCTGCCAAAACCATCAAGAGAATAGAGAATACACCTACATAATAGCTTCCCTTGCTTGTACATCTGGTCCTCTTGCCCTTGAAAACTAGACAATGTTATAGAAATTGCTATTGCCCACTATTAAAATGGACTTCCATTGTCCTTGTAGGGTTATATCACTATCTAAAATCATGGGTAGATATGTCTGGCTGAATACTGATCAGACCCTAGCTTTGGGTGAGGCTGGGAAAATAAACCAAGTTGTTTCTAACCTGTATCAATGGGGGTAGACTCTGTCTCCCATCCAAACTCATTACACATACACTCCCCCAAATAAGAAGTAGAAGTAGAAATAATTGAAAGCTCTGTACTCTGAAGAAAAATGGTCAAATTGCATTATTATTCCAATTTAATATTATATGTTCTCTCTTTGGACTTTTTGGGGGGCAAGAGATATTTAATTTATGGCTATCATTGAAATTTCACTCTACCAGTAGTTAATTACATTTATCCAACATTCGTTTTTTTAATCCAACATTGTTAAGGTTATAAACTGGTTGTGTAAATTTCATCCCTCTCCTAAGTTTTTAAAAAAAGTATCTGCATGTGTCCTTCAAATGAATGTACTTATACAGGGCCTGATAGCATGAAATTGTATCTTGCAAAATATTTTGAAAACATGAAGATATTAAGCAAATTTCCATATCCTGAGATTTTAATACAGGTTTTATTGTTTTATTTTAGGAATTAAAAATATTTATTTTATTAATTATATATTTCTGAGTCTGATAATCATTTCCTCTGCAGTATTTTTGAACAGTGGCTCCGAAGGCACCGCCCACTTCAGGAAGTTTATCCGGAAGCAAATGCACCCATCGGGCATAACCGGGAGTCCTACATGGTTCCTTTTATACCTCTCTACAAAAATGGTGATTTCTTTGTGTCATCGAGAGATCTAGGCTATGAATACAGCTACCTACAAGATTCAGGTAAAGTTCAGCTTCTTTCAGGTGAATGGCTAAACCTAGTTCAAACAATGTCTTTGAAATAGTACAAAAGTTTATGTCTCTAGAGTGTTATCTCTACAAACCCTTTAAACTGGGAATGTGTAGTACAATCTTTGATTTATCGCTAATATGATCACATGCACTGAATTCTAAGGATCTATGAATTCATTTCCATTCTACTTACTATAGGGCATTTTTTACAAGGCAACCATGGAAAACACTAAAATTCAGGCAGAAAAAAGGTTTTGGATTACAGCACATGACTCTGTCCATTGTTATACGGCATTAGGAAAGTCCATTCAGTTACTCAAATCTTAGTTCATTCATCTGTGACTGGGATCAGAGCACCCCAAAAGTGGTGAGATGCATTAACACACCTAGTATATTGAGGTGCAACGTAAATATCTAGCAGTTTTAGAATTATCGTAGAGAATTTTTTTTCTAGGCTTACCAAAAGAATTTTTTAAAATCTTGATTGTAAATCTAAGTAATAGATTAGATTTAAATATAGTGATGCACAGCTTTAATCCAGGCACCCAGGGAGGCTGAGGCAGGAGGATTACAAGTTCAAGGCTAGCCAAGCAAAATAGCAAGGCCATATCTAAAATGAAAGTAAAAATAAAAAGGGGACTGGAGATATTGCTTATATGTAAAGTATTTGCCTGGCATGTGTGAAACCCTGGGTTCAGTCCCTAGTACCAAGAAAAGAAAGATGATAGTTATTATAATGTGAATTCTATGCCTACGATTAAAATAATATAAACACTAGGAATAGAATTTAACTTGGGTTTTAAAGAATCTTTGTAGCTGAAACTATGCTATTTTAAAAAGACTAAAAAACAATAACAAAATAACAACAAAGGCAGAAGCAGAACAACACAAAAACAATTAAAAAAAAAGATTTAAAACTACACTAGTTCCTTCTTGACACATGAGGAACAGATAATAATGCCTCTCCATTCCTGAATCTGCTATATGAAGATTCTTCATGTGCATCATTAATCAATCATTTATTACATATTATCTTCCCTAGAACTAGATGAGGATACTGTTCCTAAGAGAATTTAAACAACTTTTCCAATACCAAATACTAATACATAGAGGAGCCAGATGTCAGTATGAAGCAGTCTCCCTTTACTGTCTTGATCTTTAATATGTGAGGACCAACAGTACAAAACAGTAAAACAAGAAATGGCATGCAGGTAAAAGACATTTAACAGGCAGTGATGTTCTATTATATTCATGAGTAGTTCATTAAACGCAAATGAATTAAAAGATAGGAAAAATGAAATGGAAAAGGAAAAAAAAGAAAAAATGAGTGAAATTTACCAACTTCTTAGCTCTTGTATTCAACTCTCTGAGTATTGAACTCTATGAATATTCAACTCTAGCAGTGGCATAAATTTAGATATCAAGAAGCTACTAACCCAGTGTGGAGGTTGATGATTGTGCAAAGTATAAAACACTGCACTATGAAAAATGCATGAGCACAGCCTTGTGCACTCCAAAGCACAGAGTAGAAAATCAGTAACTTGTAATAGTTCAAACTGAGAAGACAAAACAGAGCTTGAAAGGATCAGTAGGCAAGTTGGAGACAGAAACTGCAGGGAATTTTCTAAACTAAGAGAATAGCAAGAACAATAGAAGTGGAATATGTACAGTGTATCGATGGAATACTGAATTGTTACTTGAATGGTGGAAAATGATATTAGGAAGATAAATTGAGTCATTCTATAATAGTTAATACACATTCTCTTTCTATATGGGGAACTCTTCCAGGTGTGCTTTGTATGTTAATTCCTTTAATCTTTACTTCGCAGAGTAAGTATATTTCTTTACTTCATAGATGAAAAACAGAAACATAGAATATAAATTGTCCCAGGCCATGTGTCAAAGCAGTGCCTACTAACAAATTCAACATGAGAGCCTATATTTTGTCAATCTTGTCCTGCCTGTGAGGGACCATTACTTGAATGTATTGGGATCGATTGAACTTTTTTACTTTATCTAAAGATCATCGTCCATACTATAATAGATGCCCGAGGAGAGGAGATATTTTAAAACACTGAGGTTCCTGAGATAAGAGAATTTTGCAAAGGATGGAAGTGTTGTAAGAGGAGGAGATCACTGGGAATCAAAAAGAAGAACAGTCTCAAGCAACACATTTTTCCTTCTTTCTAAAAAGAACAAAGGGGGCTGGGATTTAGCTCAGCGGCAAAAGCGCCTGCCTGGCAAGCGCAAGGTCGTGAGTTCGGTTCCTGGTACCGGAGAAAAACCAAAAAACAAAAAAACCTAAAAAGAACAAAAACAAAAACCACAGTATACAAAGAAAAAAGCATATTGGTAACTATTTTGTAAAGTTTTACCCTTTAGAATTTTATAATTTTAGCTATGTTTCCATTTCCAGACCATGCTAGACTTTTCCTTGGTCACACAATTTCAAACATGCTGTTCTCTCTGTCTAAATTCTGACTAAATTTCCCCATTTGTCAAACTGTCAGATAAGAAATCACTTCTGCACAGCCATCTCTGATCACTCCTTTCTTAGAGTTGCTTGATAATTTTCCTGTGTACTAATCTGGATTCCATCTGGCTTGTGAGCCTTACAAGGTCAGAATTTATCTTGCAAGTCTCTCCAAGCATCAAATCTGATATGAGCTAAAATCAATGAATCAATTTGAGTGCAAGTGTTTTTATCATGAAGGTTTTACCGTTCATCTAATGTAAATGAACTTGCTATAAAAAATATCAGTTCTTTTAGTGCCCAGATTTCTTTTAGATATATATTTTTAAAATCAAGTATTCTATTTGGCAGGTCTTCTAAGGCCACCTTAATAATATTTACACTTTCTACATGTATTTCCTGACTAATTACTTTGAACAGATGTTGTCTTACTTATTGTGGATACAAAACAAGCAATATATTCTCTATCTTCACACAGCTTGTAATGGAAGAGAAAGATCTTAAACAACTACTTGCCTACTGACACATTGATTAAGAGAGGTGCCTGTCTGTAGGGATCAATTAAGTGATGTTTGAGATGCTATCAATACAGCAGGTAGAATTAACTAGTTGAAAAGGGAGCTTTATTTTGCTCATATTGTTAGAATAATGGAGGCCATTGTTGAATTTTAATCAAATTGTAGTCAAGTGGAGTTTTTGAAAGATTATTATTGCTATAAAGTTTTGTTGCTATTGGAAAGTACATGTGGAATGGACAATTAAAATCCTTTTGTAAGAGTCTAGAAGAATGTGATGGTAGTTTGGTTTGCAGGGGTGGGGATAGAAAAGAAAGGAAAACGTGTAAAGAATTTGATATTGTTTTTGAAAAAAAAACTTATAGATATTGGTAAATGATTTATATATGCAAGGAGATAGAAGATGGAGGTGTTAGGAATGTCTTTAAACTTTCTGGCTTGTACAACTGATGACTGATAATTCAGCTTATTGAGATAGTAAATATAAGTATAGGATCAGACATGACTGGAAGCTTATGTTTTTGTTAAACAGTGAAATGAAGTCATATCAGTCATCAGGATGCATATGTCTCAAGTAAATATGTCAAAAAAGATGCTGGGACCTCAAATCCTAATGTCCTGGATCCTTAGATCCTAATGTGAGACATATCACCATATAAATTTGTACTTCATTTAATTTTAAACTTCTACATAGTAGTGATGTTTTAAAATTATTTTTATTAGTATATATCTGCAGTACATAAGGTTTATATTCCTTGTGTACAATTGGTACATGTACATAACAAAACTGAAATCCTTTTTCCACCCCCTTTCCTGCTCCTCCCAATTCTTATTGATTTATAGGGAAGTAAATTGAGAATCAGGAAGATAAAATGACTTTCTAAATTGCAATATTTTGTAGCAAATATTAAATCCAAAATTTCTGATCTCTCTGCACAGAAGAAAGGGTGGCCCTCAGCCATTGCGTTGTCTTTTACACAAATACTCCACCTCATTGTTCCCTCCTGGGTGTCCAAATGATGTGTTTTGACTTCAAAGGGAACAGCCACCCCTGAATAAGTGAGGGCAGAAGACACGCAAAGGCTCCTAACATAATAGAGGCTGACAGATATTTATGCTAATAAAAATGTAAGAAACAAAATAATCTAGACTGTTTTATGTATCTATGTAGAATGTGTTTCAGACTACTGTCAACTTAGAAAGTTAATTTCAAAGAAGTTTGATTTTAAAATAAACAATTGTCTTTTAAATTTTATGAATCATTATATATTGTTGCTTCTGTTGTACTTTCAAGGAACTTGGAATATATCTCTATTCACTATTAAACTTTAAGTTTATTTAAATTTCTTTAAAAGCCCTTATATGATTTAGACTATGGGGGTTACTATGCATCATTCATATATTCACGTTTATAATTATTTAAGTATTTCTGTAAAAAAGAGCACATGTCTGGCATTTGTCAAGCATGTCCCATTTTAATCAAATTTAATGAATGCTTGAAAAATTGTTAGCAGGAGTGACTTTCCTGCATCCATAACATTAAAATATAAGACCAAAACTCTTTGGCAATGAAAAGTTGTGACTCTGATCTGCTGGTAAACATGATCTGACTTTCTGTATAGAACATCAAGAATTCCCTTCTCTTTAGAGAACTTCCTTCTTCCATGATAGACCTGGGAACTTGATTTCAAAAACTGACAGGAGAGACAACATCTCTGCACTCTCACTCCACAAATGTGATGTGATGAGACCTATGTCATTCATGAATTTGCTTAGTGTCTATGCCTGGCTCTGTGTCTGGCTGTGTGTATGCTATTCCTTTCTGGTGGGATGGCTTGCTGTTAGCACCACACAACAAGATTTCACTCGTTCTTCTCAGAGGGCCAGGCTTCTGGGATACCTTTCTGGGTTTCACAGATGTAGAAGGTCTTTAGTCCGCAAATCTCACGTATTTTTTACATATTATTAATAGAACACAATTGTTCTTTAAAAAGTGAGTTTAACTGTTAGTCTCTGTTTCCAGTTACTGCTCCTTTGAGACCAGGAACACTGTCATATTTCTCTTTCACCCTCAGCACTTAGACCTCCGCCAGGCCTGTGGTACATCTCAGTGAGTATTTATTTCATGAAGAAATAAATGAGTAATAGATGAAAGATAAAACAAGACATGTGTGCTCTCAAGAGCCTACGACAAACCTAAAAAGGAGACATACATACAAATAATTGCAGTGCATGGGTAATAATGCCAATTCTCTCAAGGAGAAAAGAGCCAGTCTGAGAATACAAAAAAATCTCCTATTGAAAGCAAGTCAGTAGAGAAATTGATGACATTATTGTGGAAAAACAAGAATCCAGGGCTGGGGATTTAGCTCAGCGGCAAAAAGCGCCTGCCTGGCAAGCGCATGGTTGTGAGTTCGGTTCCCGGTACCGGAGAAAAACCAAAAAACAAAAACGAAAAACAAGAATCCATAACAGTTATATACTGTTTTCTACATATTAAGTGTTGTCCTGAAGATTGCATATACATTGTTACTATAATCATTACAGAAAAGCTTTCAAAGCTACAGGCTCCCGATTGATTCGAGTAATATTTCTCCATTACGTCATGTGTTTGTTGTGTGGATAAATGGGAATGGGAATGTGCTTTGGAAATACCAGAGAACAAAACAAATGAAAGACTGTAAAATTATTCTGAAGACAATGAGTAGCAAAAAAATGGAATTTTAAGTAGGCGAGGATGAAAGAAAAATATGACATTAAGAAAGAACAACGAGGTGCACCGTTGGGGTTCAAAATCAGGAAGTGAAGAAAGAAAAGTGAAAATTTTAATTTGAAACCACTGAGAAATAAAGAGTGGTTTGAAGAAGATGGTCCTTTATGACAGTAAAATTGAGCCCACATGGAATAAATCAGAGAAATAATGAGAGAATTTGGAGAACAGGATAGACATAAAAATAGTATGTGAAAATTGTGAAATCATGAGAGCTGAACCTTTCATAATAAAGGAAATACCACTTATTATAGAACCACCATGAATTCTTCAGACATTTTTAATGTACCTTATATTGAAGTGACTAACAGCAATCTAAATTAAGTATCATAGTCCCATTTTCAAAATAATTTTTAAATATGTTGAAAATAGTAACTGTTGGGTTTAATGGAAACAATTTTCAGTTCCTTCTCTTTAGTTTTATTGGGTTTCATTTTTAAAGTTAAATTAATATCATTCAAAACTATACAATTTTTTGCTCTAACAATATATGATGTTGATCTTTTGAAAGATCAGACATTTTTAATGTACCTACTGATAAAGAGAAATGCAAAATTTGAGGATTGGTCACCTTATGTTTAGTGAGCTCTGAACTTTAGAGACATCTGAGTGACAATAGACAAGTAGATGTCGCTGAGGATGGAAGAAGTAACAGGGAAAATGCCCAAGGCCCTCAGCCCCACTTAAATCAACTTTTATCTAGTTTTACCTCTTTGAATATTGCCACTTAATAGACCATTAGATTTTAAGAAATTTTTTGATTGAAAAGAGAATATTATTAATATAATCATTCTGAATGTTATCAACTTTGTGGTGAACAATGAAATTCTTGTTTCCAATTTTACTTCATGTTGCTACTCATTCTTCCAAAGATAGTTTATAAAACAGATATTCCTATTCCTTGTTTTGTATATATAATTTTTATCATGTTCTAATTTTGCATGTAATTGTAATTCCATAATGTCCTAGAGTATTTATCTTTTAATAGGCAAATAATTAACTTTTCAAAATATTAAGACTTTTAAAAACACAGGTGACATAATATTAAGTGAGGTAACTCAGACATACAAGTTTAAATATCACATGGATTCTTTTATATGAAAAACTCAATATATATAAAGTACATAATAAAAGACAGATTGTAGGAAAAAAGAAAGAAAACAAAGTATTGTAATCCAATATAGCCAATGTATCTAAAAGTGTATATTAACATAGTATGATCGTCTTACATGTTTTATATGTTCTTTATTACTCTGGTTTTCAATCTGTATATACAATAATTAATTTTATAAGGTCTTATAAGATAAATAAATGAATCTGATGCTGGAAAAAATAAAAGGGGAGACAGAATAGGAGAAAAAGAAAATTGCAATGTGTTATGCACATGTACCAGTCGCCTGCAGCAAATGTAATCATTATGTGCTGCAAACACAGATTAAAAAAAAAAAAATGGGTAGGAGAAGTTCTGGGCAGGGAAACAACCTGGCAGTCTTTGTGTTTTCATAGTGTCCCTCTGGCTGCCAGGTTAAAGGACCGGAAGAGTCCAACGCTAATACCCAAACCTTGTTTCTAGCAAGATCCTCAGAGAAAGCATCCTTGTCAAAGTCCTGACAGTTGCCAGGGTTACTATTGAGTTTTGACAAAATGTAGCTTATGGGTTTGCACTTTTTAAGTCACTTGCCCTTTAATAAACATTAACTTCTGCAAATAAGATAAAATACAGATGACCAAAAATGCCATGGAAATAAGAATAGATAAGAAGAGAACTTAATGATTTACGAAATCCAGGGATGAGAGGTGCATTCAAGTTATGGAAAAGGCAGAAAAGCAACTGAGCCTAAGGAGCATCAGAAGCCAAGGAACCGAGCACACGGAAGCCTGGGAAATCTTCCTTCCTGTCCCTACCTAGCCGTCACTGTGCGCTGGCTGCGTCCTGTCTTGCACATTTTCAGAAGTGGTTGTCAGCAGTTTCTGAGCCACTTGACTCTCAATTCCAGCCTAGTAAATCCCGGGTAATGATTCTGAGTGAATCACGGCTTCATCTTTTACTAAGCAACTGTACCTGAGGGGTAGGACCATACTACAGGCATGCTAGGGTTCCTACTTCCGCAGAGGAGGGAGGTAAGAATTGGGAGGAGATAGGCTAAAACAGAGGCTCAAATCCTGTGTTTAAACAAGTTAGTGCACTGATTACCCCAACAGCAGGCTCAGTGAGTCACTGAGCATCACTTCTATAATTGTTAAAAGACCAGAGCTGCCCCTTTCTTATACCTACTTAAGACCAAGGTGTCCTTGGACCAGGAGTCTGTGACAGCTCAGGAACTTTATCTGCATTCTGACTAAGCAAAAAAGAAACAAATGAAGAGGAAAGCCTTATTTTTTCCTTTTAATGGAACTGCCTAAAAGTCATATTTATTATTTTTGCTTGAAAATTGAGTTATATAAGCATAACTTACTGAAAGATAAACCCAGGATGCAATATCTCCTTTCCTTTGCATCAAAAATGAACATTGAGTATCTTTTCTGTATGGTGTCTTCTATAGAGAAATTGCTTTCATAGATAATCTACCAACTCCTATTGAACAGGTATAAGTAAAGATTCTTTTTCATTAAAATCCTATAGGGTATTCTAGATTTTATATATATATAAAACTAATCCCTGACTTAGGATATAATTGATAGTGGAAGATGATTTATTTGTCATTATGTTTCCTATTTTGTATTACATTGAGTGGGCATTGATTTATGTAATTAGACAATATAGTTTTATCAGCAATATCATGTTCCTTTTAATACATATTATGTAATCATGACAGTGTTAAACATACAATCATACCATCTATTAGTTACTTTAGATTTTTTTTACTTTAGGTACTTTTTAGTAATACATTTGCAAATTTTATCATGTGTATTCATCTCAGTTTTAGAAAATTTAAAAGAAAATAAACACAAAATTAAAAGTTATCCTTAGTCCTACTGTTCAGATTAACAAACTGCTGTTATTTCTATCTTTGCTGTGATTCCTGTTGTATTTTTCTCACATATATGTAACATACCATTAAGAATATCTTTAATTGTTTTTGTTTCATTAAATGACATATACAAGGAAACACTTTAATACAGATGATAGAAATGTAAATAATAACTGGAATAGATTTAATCAGTGCAATAATAGAAGAAATGCTAACCTTTTTAACATTTTAGATATTTAAGGCTCCTTGAACTAAATATAAAAATGCTTTTAAGAAACAGATGGTCCTTAGAGGCTGGGGATTCAGCTCAGTGGCATAGCGCCTGCCTGGCAAGTGCAAGGCCATGAGTTCAATTCCCGGTACCAGAAAAAAACCAAAAAAAAAAAAAAAGAAAACCAGATGGTTCTTGAGGAGATCAAACTTGACCTCATGATAAATCCATGAACAGCATAAGGGAACATACTAAGTACACTTATGCTGTATAACTTTCAGATTATCAAAACTAAGGAATTTCAGAGGTAGAAAGTGGCAGTCACCCATGTTGCCCCTTGTCAGAGACATTTGCTTATGTGGTTTGAAGCAACGTATCCAATCAAAATGCTGGAACTTTTTCCTTACTCATAATTATTACAAATACACCTGATAAAATCTATTGAGATTTAAATCTGTGATCTCAAAGCATATAGAGATTTTACAAATGTCCTGAAGCTCTTGGGAGTGTTCTGAGATTACCTAGCATTTAGCAACATTCTTGTCAGTTAATGTTTGGCAGATAATTTTAAATAATTGAATGATTAATGTTGCAGTAGTGTTACATAGATAATCAGAATTCTTATAAGACCAGCAGAAGACATGATCTAACAATTCAGGGCACACTACATACCAGACACTAAACAATTTAGTGTAGACTATCTACAAACTGTAAAACATCCCAACAAGGGAGTATCATTTTCCTTTTTTCTTGGGGAAGAAATTGAGGAGGAAGAGGTACAGCTTCTTCAAGCTCTTACAGCAGAGCTGGTGTTCAAACCCAAGTGTCCGACTCCAAAGCACTAGCCAAAGATGACGGTGATGATGGTGATGATGGTGCCATAAACAACAGTAAAAACATTCAGATTTCTTTCTATTTCAGATCTAAGCTTCTTTCAAAACTACATTGAGCCTTACTTGGAACAAGCACGTCGGATCTGGCCGTGGCTGGTCGGAGCAGCCTTGGTAGGAGCCGCCCTCGCTGCGTCACTGGTGGGGTTTACCAACCTACTGTGCCGTCACAAGAGGAAGCAGCTCCCCGAGGAAAGGCAGCCGTTGCTCATGGAAAAGGAGGACTACAACAGCTTATTGTACCAAAGCCATTTGTAAAAGGCACAAGCAGTAGAGTGGGACCAGAACACATGTCCTCACTGTAACTCAGAGTGCTGTGCGGGTTCCCGGGAGCTACCCCCCAGCAGAGACCCCTGTGTGTCAGAGAAGACCACTCTTAGAATTGTAATGTAGTAGAAAATGTACCCCTAACGCACACCCAGCTAGAACACTGCTGTTTGTCTTGCTGCTTTTGCTCAGTCCTTGTAGTTCTCCCCCAGCTCCTATTTTCAAGGACCGCATAACGTTTGGTACTATGTCAGTGCACATGTATCAAAATAAAACTACTCTTACATGAAAGTAAAATAGTGACTTTTTTCCACCTTATTATTTAAAGATGTTTCATTTTACTTGTCACTTTTGTTTGACTTATGAAAATGGTAACAAATTTACACTGTCTCATTTGTGATTGAGAAATACATTTTATCCTTCTCAGGAAGCTTGATATTTTTCTGTATTTTACATTCCCCTTCTACAAAGTATGTGAACTTCAAACAGAAAACAGTCCTTATTACTTTCCTGTTGTAGACCTGACTGTAATTTTAAGGTCACTGAGAGCAAGGGCTCAGGTACTAGGACAAATCTAAGTGCCTCTGTCAGTATGTGTCCACTTAATACCTTGAGATGGATAATAATAAGCATAATTGATGGCTACTTTACCTTCTAAGAAGATTTTATTTTATTAAAAAAAGTTTATTGGAAAAATGGTACAAGACATTTGAAGATTGAGAACTATTATCAGAATATCAGTCTGTGTGAAATTTTAGTAAGGAACTCATTATCATTTTCATTGGTAGTTTAAAATCTCAAATTAAGACATGTAGAAAATCTCACTACTTTGAGCTGAATTTCTGAGCAACTTGACCAATGTTAAAGTGGTACATCCCATAAACAGTCAGGACCGCCAGGTGGAAGCTACAGGGTCTGACTCAATAAAAGGAAACCTGAAAATACTACAGTTTCCAGAAGCAGAGGGACATTCTTGGAAAATAATAAGTAGCTGCCACAGGAATTCTTCACATGTCAGTGAGGGTGGCTGATTCAACTTGCACTCTATAGAGAAAAATTAAGCATTGAGTCTAGAGTAGTGCTTATTTAAATTGGCTTAAGGCTCCTAACAGCTCTCCTCAAAAGTAAGGTGGAATTTCTTAATCAAAAGTCCCTAATACGCTGCCACAGTATTTGAGGGTATATCACCAGCATTCCTCCACCCCCGCAAAAGATTCATTTTCATTTGCTCTGTCTTGGTGTCCTCAATCTCCTCAGACTCCGTAGGCCTGCTTTGCGCTGGTCTGCTCAGCGTCTGCAACTCTGTGCTTCAGTCTTCTACTGACTGTATGCTCCTCACTCACCTCTGGACACTTTTTGTCTACCATGCAGACTATGCTTTAAAGACAGATGTAACTGCTCCAGGCTTCCAGAAACCTCCAAGGGGATGGCACCAGAACCTCTACATCTCTGGAAGACCCTTTACAGTCCCTTTCCACCAGAATATTCCATAATTCTCATCAGTTCTGAAGTATAAATTTCCAGCAATTTATAAATGAATCAAAAGAGGAATCGCCTAAAGTGGCTGAGTGCTTGGACATACCCGTATCTAAGGAAGGTTCACCCAAGCCAAACCATACAGTTCTTAAATGATTACCTTTCATTCACTCCCATTTTAAATTTCAAGGAGCACGACTCACCCTAGGATATATATTGGTCAAATCACTTTGGTTGTTTTTAAAATTTTATTTAAACAGAAATTTCCACTTATTTCTGAAGCTATCTCATTCATGATCAGAAATTACTAGTAATTATTAAGCTCAGTAACAGAGCAATAGTCACCCTGTAATTCTCACTAGTTGTGATACTTCAGCTGGCTAATCCAACTTCTGTTATCTAATAGGAACACAGCAGCAGACAGGATGGGCAGCTGCTCCTTCAGGTACATAGTGGGTGTCTGTGAGAAGAGAGGAAAAGTACAGGGACCATATCCTCCAGTTTGTGCCTAACTGGCAGGAAGAGTTAAGCAGATCTTTAGCACTGCAATTTAAGACTGAAATAGTTTGGTTGAGTTTGGAACTATTAAAGCCAAGAAAAAATAGAAATGACAAAATGCCTTTGGATACTTACCTGCAGAAAACTCTGAAGAAGGATCACCAGTGATTGGGTACACCTTTGCACGAGTACATCAGTCTCAGTACACCTTTGCATGAGTACATCTGTCCAGTGGAGGCCAAGGTGAGCGGGATGCTCTAAAACAGTTGCTGTGTGGGGCCATTTATCTAGGTTTGATTTGAAAGCAAGATTTTCATCAAGAAACACACTTTAAAAATCATTTTTGCGAGACATTTTAAGTTAAAAATGCACCCGAAAAATTTTCTTTGTTGTTAAGATTTGTATAAACTCATTCTTGTTTTTTTATTCACGAGATAATTTCTTTCTAGCTTTATAAATATTGTATTGTTCCTCTGAAGGCTCAAGATATCACTTGTGTAGCAGAAATCTCTATGATAAAAATGATGTCACTTTGAAACTGGAGTTTCCTCAGTGAGGTACCAAAATTACATGACTGATACCTCAAAATATGCCAGTTTTATTAGACTCTAATTGACATTATATTCTGTGGCATTTTAAAAGTGTGGCTTTTATAAATTACTTCATTTTCTGCCCTGATATTTTTCTATTGTTACATTATTAGTCACACTTTGTTACACAGAGAGCAATAAGCAGCTGCTACTCCTTTTTCTTTTTTCTGTAATTTTGTAAAAAAAGTTCTAATTAGTCAACCTTTCCAGCAAGTCAGATATATAATTCTCCATCTGTACAGGTAAAAAGCTGATGGGTACAAGTCATTTCAATCAGTGTCTGCAACAGGCTTTCGGGGATATTCTGAAATAGCCTTTCTGCTGTTTGCATGAGCTTTCTTTGATGGAATGGGTTTTCTTTGTCCCTGTAAAAGGAGCCTTGTTTGGGCCACTTACTGTGGCCTGTGCGATTTTGTAGGGCATGTCAGGGGAACAAAGTTTCACTCCCCTTCTGATTAGACTCCTCTGAACACTGCTAAAATGCAAATATAAAAAGAGGTATTTTTATAAGCTTTGTATTATTTGAAAATAATTTGCCAGTTTATATAGTGTAGTGAAAATTGAAATTGGCTATGGAAATCATTGAGACCTCAAGGGTTTTCAAATTGTCCAGCTATTTAAAACTATGTAAGAATAATTTAAGTATTTTTAAAAGCCTTAATAAAATTCTGTATAGTTCATATTTATCTTATTACTTTTAAGTTCTCTTCTTAATAACAAATTAAAAGTTATTCTTGTAACTTCATATTTACCTACCAGCCTTTATATATTTCATAAGTATGACCATAAGACACTCTCATAATTTCTAATTTCTTTACTAAAAATGTAAAGACATAACAATTTGGTTAGGCAATTAGACAAGAGTAGTGATTATATTCTAAGAAATGTGCTAAGTATTTTACATAGGAGGTAACTTGCCCAAATTTATTTAAACTTTTCCGAACAAATGTGCAGAGGTTTAGGTTCTTTAGCATTTGAATTTAGTTTTTCCAAAATGAGTCTTAATAAAACCTTAATTGTTAAATATTATTCAATTACATAGAAATTTCATAAGTTACAAACTTGTTGCTACTAAATATTGAGTTTTATGTAGTTTTTCTTATTGTACCTGTGTTTAGTACTACAATTAATAGCTCAGTGTACATAGTATCTGATTTATCTTATTTTCTAGGAACAGACTTTCTGGGTCAAAGTGACCAAGGTCTATGGACTTCCATAGTGCTTTAGAAAATGGTCACATAGACTTAAAACTATAAAAGGGGATGAAGTCTAAATATATAAGCTCAAAAAGAATGAAAGAGAAAATAAAAAAGAAATGAACTCATGAGAAGGAAAAAGGGCTGCAGTCCTTTTTGAGAACTTAAAATCCTTATTTAATGGCCATTTCATGGCACTAAAAGTGGAAAAAAATTCAGAATAAAACCATGTTAGAGAAATAAGAAGTAACATGCCTATTAACACCAAAACAAGGTATTTTCAAGAATACATATATTTCTTGATTAGGGAGAAGACTGTGTCTACCTCAAACCATGAGAATCACACAGGAATAAAAACAGCAAAGCCAGAAACACTGGGGGAAAATATAAAGAAAAGGAATCAAAATAATCTACGAATCAAAGCAGAGTCAGGGTCAGGAGCTGGGATGGACCATGGTATTAGAGGTGAAGAAGGCTTGGAAGGCCCTCCATACAAAACCCCGAGGCACACTGAATGCTGCACTGCTTTCTGAGCAAATACTACACTTTGTGGGTTGCAGTCCATCTTCCTTAGCAGACCAGGTCATCTTAAAGCACTTTTGCCAGAATAAAGAATATATGTGCTGGGGCTGGGGATTTAGCTCAGCGGCAAAGCGCCTGCCTGGCAAGCGCAAGGTCGTGAGTTCGGTTCCCGGTACCGGAGAAAAACCAAAAAAA